CACTCATACCACCAACTTTGAGCATATTGTCACCAGCACTCGCTGTCATTTTAGATCTAGTTTTAATCTTAGCCATTCTGATATCTGTAAGAAGAAATCTCAGACTCATTTTGATTTGAATTTCATTGTTGGGTAAGGATGTTGAACATTGCTTTAAGTGCTTCTCTGCCATTAGTGAATTCTTCGTTAAAAATTCTGTTTAGATCTCAAAACCATTTTACATTGGATTATTTGGTTTGTTGACATTTAGCTTGATGTATGTTTGAGTATGTATTTTGTATATCATCCTTATGTCAAATGAGGAGTTGGGGAGAATCTTTTACCATGCTCTAAGCTACTGTTTTGTCCTATAGATGGTGTACTTTGTCTTACAGAGCATTCTCAATTTCATTAAGTTCAATTTATTGATTGTGGCTTTTAGCAACTGTCCTATTGGTGTTCTCTTAGGGATGTTGTCTACTATTCACATGAATTCTAAGATATTCCCCATATTCTTTCCTTTAGCCTCAAGATATCCAGATTCACATTGAGGTCTGTGATCCAGATGGTCTTGAGTATTGTTCATGGGAACAGTTGTGAATCTATTTGCACTCTTCTATATATAAACACTTAGTTAGACCATCACAGTTTGTTGATGCTTTTGTTCTTTCATTGTGTATTTCTGATTCTTTCTCAAAAACTAGGTGTCCTTAAATATGTTTATTTGTCTCTGCATTTTTGTTTGATTCTGTTTATTAACCTTTCTTGTTTTATTCTATTACACTGATGTTTTTAGTACTATAGCTCTGTAGGACACTTTTAAAGAAGGGATGCTGATACCTCCAGATGTTCCCTTCTTGCACAGGACAGTCTTAGCTGTCCAGCATTTTAAAGATTTTCTATTTGAGGTTGAGTATTGTCTTGTCAGTTTCTATAAAGAACTGTATTGAAATTTTGATGTGTGTTACATTGACTCTGTCGATTGCTTTTGGGAGGGTGTTGATTTTTACTATGTTTACCCTACCAAACCAGGAGCATGGCAGACATTTCTATATTTTGATGTCTTCTTAATTTTTTGGTTGAAGTCTTCAAGTTGTGTCATACAGTTCTTTCACTTGCTTGTCTAGAGTTAAAAGAAAGTTCCAATTTTCTGATTGATGGGTTTTTTCGACAATAAGGTAGTCCGTCTTCATGACGAATGCGAGGTCACTCAAATTTTGTCATTAATGTCTCTGTAGCATTTCCAGGAGAACAACATAAATTTTATGAACTAACACAAGTAATTTACCTCAGATTTTGTGTCTCTACAGACAAGGCATAACTAACCCAGGAGATGGTTTATTAATTTTCTAGGGGGTAACTAAGAAAACTACGTACTTCATAGAGTGAAGAAACACAGCTCTCTGCACTGTCCCTCAGATTATACACAACTGCTTTATTTTGATGTTTTTCTTTCACTGATACATGGCAACAAATATTTATCAATATTATTGGTGACATTCACATAAAGATTCTAGAGAGCATAAGAGCCTTTTATTCACAGAGAATCACTAAGAGAAGAAGAAATTTTAGTCACACAGGTATGTCTCCTAAAAGAAGGAGATAAAAATCAAACAACTGCACTTCATTCAGAAAGCTGAGAGTGGAGGTTCTTAATAACCTCTTGATCTTTTTGCTATCTGTAGGGACAGAACTCACCCTAATTACTCGGAATGATTATCCCAACTCTTCCATGATTAGACTATTAGCCATCCTTAGGGAAGGTGTCACAGATATTTAAGGCCTCCTGATCTGTATGTTGTTGGTCAGAGAGCACACTAGGTTCTAAATTTTAGCAAAAGAACCCACCTTCATGGTTACAAGAACTTCATAAAATAGGATCTATACAGAAACTTTAAGCTTTATTGTTCAATGGGATTTGGAATGATATGGAACTGTTTGTTGACAAAAGACCCTTTTCCAACTTTAATTGTGTTGAAATATACCTATAATAAACTGCCTAGCATAGACTCCTCAATGTTTGATTCAGGTTGACAAAGTCATTTTTGTACTGTGTTCACATTCTTATTTCTTCCCATGATTTGTTTACCACTAGGACACCTGCAGGGACATCCTCAAGAAATAAAAGTTATTCTAACAGAAACTGCTTTGAGCAGTTAGAGATAAATATTAGAAAAGTTCATTCCTAAAAATACACACACACACACACACACACACACACACACCGAGAGAGAGAGAGAGAGAGAGAGAGAGAGAGAGAGAGAGAGAGAGAGAGAGAATGAGAGGCTAAAACCCAGATATTTTATTAATGTATTTCACTACAACTTTACCCTTACATCTTTTCAGACCTGGGTTCTGATATTCTGTGAACAATTTAAAAGGAAATGAGACCTAAAATAATGGTCACTTGTGCATATGGGATATTTATAAACAAACATGTTATGAGAACTATTTATTTATTAGTTATTTAAAGTTCTTTTTCTATTTTAAACTGAAAATACATTTCCTCCTTCAATATATTCTGAAGATTGACTTCTGCTCCTTAACACCTCCCCAATTTTCTCCAAGCTTGATTGTGTTTCTTTATCTAATTAGAAAAAAAAAAGTACCTATACATAATAAAAAAGGAAAACAAAGTGAAATGAAGGAAAAGCAAACAAACAGGAATATGACAATACAAATAGAAGAAAAGTCACCAGAAACAAAGCACAAGAAACACATGCGGATGCAGAGACACATGTAGAAAATACTCTATAGAACAAAGAAGGGCAAGAGGTATTCATTGCACTATAAGAATTAAAGCTGTGTCAGTATAGGTCCATGTTCTATAAAGGCTAGTGACTATAGGGATGATTACTGAGACGGGGAAGGAAGTAAATATGGGATCAATCACTTATGTAAAAACTTAGAACCTACCTCAGTTAACAAGTACATACCTTCTGTTAGTAAATGAAATTCATGAAAAGTGATTTAATAATATTCGCACCAATGTACAAGAGTTATATTTTCATGACTTTGCATTCTCATATAAATATTATTCACATCTTATGAGACTGGAACTTCTGTTAGAAAACATAAACAGATTTAATAACACACCTGAGATCATTTATTACTTAAGATTTTGAAGTAGTTTTTGCACAGATGGTGATTTGTAATTTATACGTGAAATTCATATTATAATGTATTCCCAATATTTTCAAAAGTTCTGGTCTCTCAAGATCCAGTGATATTTTTATTACGAATCATCATACTGTTTCATTTTATTTTTTCATTGAGTAAGAAACATGTCAATGGAGGTGGTCACTGGTGAAGAGATTGACAAGTTATGGAGAACTGTAGGTTTATCCTAAACCAGCATCACTTTATTCACAGATGTTCTTTTACAAAGTTGACAAATGCACAATAGGTCCCTGAGAAGGAGGCCATTAGTGGACACTCAAAATTACAATTTCTGAGCAAGTCTAAAGGTTAGTCTTTCTGTCATGTCAGTCTCAGGGCAGCTTTCTGCATCTCCAGGGTTTCTGACACACTCAGGATGTGGTTATAACACTGTGTCTTGCACAGTAATAGACTGCAGAGTCCTCAGATGTCAGGCTGCTGAGCTGCATGTAGGCTGTGTTGGAGGATTTGTCTGCAGTAAAGGTGGCCTTGCCTTTGAATTTATTATTGTAGCCAGTACCACCACTTCCAGGATAAATCCATCCAATCCACTCCATTCCCTGTTCAGGACTCTGCTTTACCCAGTTTATATCATAGCTGGTGAAGTCATAGCCAGAAGCCTTGCAGGACAACTTCATTGAAGTCCCAGGCTTCACTAACTCAGCTCCAGACTGCTGCAGCTGAACCTGGGAGTGGACACCTGTGGAAAGAAAGGCAGAGTGGATTCTATTGTCACCTTACATCCTGTCTCCACTTCAGATTTGGAACTGGTGAGCACCTTACCTGCAGTTACTGACAGGAGAAAGAGAAACACCCAACTCCAGCCCATGGTTAGACTCAGTGTGTTCAGGAAGAGGACACTGATCATATTTTGTTTTCAGGACATCCCTGTATTTACTACCATAGACTCATGTAATTTGCATATTCATGAGTAGCCGATTTTTACATAAGAACCTAGTCCAGCTGGAGAAGAACTGGAAGGGAAGATGCTCAGATCCAAGTCTTAATTCTCTCTGAGGAAATGCATTCCATATACTTTCCCTAACTCTGAGCAGATGCTGTGGATTTAACTTCAGGGACTAAACTCTCAAAGGATTTTTGACCTGAGTCTGTTGTTCCTGTTGGACACAATGTCATCAGATTGTCCTATGATCAGATTTTGGTTATGATGATGATTAAAATGATGGAAAATTCCTAAAATTTTTTGACAACTTACTACCTACTTTCAGATACATAAAATTAATATTTCCAAAATCTTAATACTTCAAAACTCACTACAATGACTAAAATTAAATGTCCTGTCTATATACACATAGTGTCATCACTAGTAAATATTGAATATACTGAAATATTTCCCCCATAAAGGTGAATATATTTTGCCCATCACTCATCAAATGTCAAAGACTTTCTGATTGGTATTGGCCCTCGAGGACTCCTCTCCATCCATGTTGTAATCTTGTTTAATTTGTTATATTGTTTTTTTGGTAAGAAGAGGGTACATATGCAGAAAAGTGTGTATATTAATCTCAGAATCTGACGTACATAATTCAATTCCAAGAGATTTACCTAATATTGCTAAGCTTATTGAGAGACAGACATCTTTACCTGCTAAGCCATTTTGAGGTCTCCAATATTGTAATTTTTACCTGTGTGATCTCTGTGTCTGTGTGTTTGTTATGCTGGTGAATATAGCTACTGAGAGTTCATGTGTGCAGTAAAAACAGGGTAATACCTAGAGATAGAATTTGATGTCATTCAATTCCATTCTCTGTATCTTACATCCTTTCATTTCCCTGTTTTATAATGGTCTTTGATTTTGGAGTGAGAGGTTAGTATAATTACGGATCTGTGACTGATTACTCTGTCAATCATTCTCAGTAATTTGACCACTCATAAATGTCTGCATCAGTCTTTACACACAACATATGTGAGCCTCAGTGATCAAGGCTGAGACAGCCTACTGGGTATAAACATAACTACTTATAAGGTAGTTGGACAAAATGACCTTTATCAATACAGCTGAGTTCTACTAGAGCCTGAATCATCTCTAAACATGGGATTCAACCACACTTACCCAGGATGACATCTGTCCTGTGAAAATTCACCAAAATTAATAAATAAAATTATGTTGTGTCCCAGCCTATCCCATCCAAACACATACTCAAATGACTCTATATCTTATTATAGCAACACTTACACACTAATATTTATTCACAGCGTGGTATTCATGCTTTATTCACAGCATATACAGGAAGGAATCATCTCATATTTCCAGCAAACCAAAAATAAAAAGTGACAAAGTTGTGCATATATAAAAAGAAATATAACTCTGTGGTAAAACATAAAATATTTACAAGTGTCTGTGTGGAACTGGAGAAAATATATTGAGTGGTCATCCATGTCGTTAAGGCAAGTGCTTCATGTTCTTATTTTTGTATGTTGCAAGATTTGGTTACTTTGTTTGTTGTATTGGATTGTGAAAGTGGAGAGACTATAATTAGGCCACTAAGATATGAGGATTTTACAAAGATGATATAATGAAATAGACATAAAATAGAGGGTAAAAGATTTTAAAAATGAACAGATTATAAAAGCCAAGATGGTACATGAGCTGAAGGAAAGAGTGTCTCCCAGACACGATTAGATTGATGCACATATACATTCACAGAGTCTGTGACTGTAGGCACAGAGCCTGAACCAAGTCAACCCACATTAAATCCCCACATTCAGAAAGCAAAATGGACACAGTCCCTCACCCCTAACCAAGACGTTCTGCAATGGACACTCACATATAAAGAAAAAAATAGTTTTCTTCAGTGGAGTCTCACAAAAGATATTAAGCACAATTAATGATGAAAGACATGCTTAGTAGTTGATATCCAACAAAAAATGAAATCAATGTTATTTCTGCAGATAATTTTTCCATAATCTCACCTTCTTGAGATCTTTGTCTCACTTAAATTTGCCTATCAGAACCATAGAATTGTAATCTTACTTGTTTCTCTCCCTCTCTCTCTCTCTCTCTCTCTCTCTCTCTCTCT